AATGTTTCTGTGACAAACGGTAAGAACGCCTCTGAAACGTGAAATATGAGTTCAGTCATTTTTCACCTCAAGTGGAGCCATAAAAGACGACGAGAGCGCCACTGCCTTTTGTTTCAGCCGATCTGCTGCCCGTTACACATAATTGCCTCCATGTGTTACTCTGACAGTAATTAAACAATAAAAATTCAGAAGTCAATTAGCAGCCGGTGCTTCAGATTGGTGGAGGGGTGGGAGGGCAGCTTCACCGCCTCTCATTCTGCTGCAGAAAACCAGGTGTTTAACACTGTTTATCAACATTATTCACTTTAATAACATCATCCAGAAAAATGTTTTTGTGCACAGCCTCGCCGAGTCTGGATCACATGACCTCACACAGACTCACTGACTGGATGATTTCAGCCGCCAGGTGAGCTCTGAGGATCCTCTTATCACAGACTGAACAACAGAATCTGCAGATCCAGACCTGGAATCAAGAGTTTTATGGAGCCCTGACTTTTCTTCAGGACAATCCGACCGTTTATCTTCGCACATAAGAGGATGAGGAGGAGTAATTTCAAAGAGAATCAATCTCAAACAGCGTTGCATCTTAAACTGGATCTTCACAGAAAAACTCCCAAACCAAACAACTGAAGCTGCTTCCATCTCAGTAATGTCTGGAGGGGTCCTCACCTATGGTCAGGACTGAGATCATGTCATGACAGAAAGAATGAGATCGCAGATACAGGCGGTTGAAATGAGTTTCCTCCGCACGGTAGCTGGACTCTCCATTAGAGAGGGTGAGAAGTTCAGTTATCAGGAGAGACTCGGAGTAGAACCACTGCTCCTCCACATCCAGAGGAGCCAGTTGAGGTGGCATCTGGTAAGGATGCTACCTGGGCACCTCGGGCATGTCCGACTGGGAGGAGACCCGGGAAGACCCAGGACACGTTGGAGAGACTACGTCTCATGGTTGGCCTGGGAACACCTTGGAGTCCCCCCAGAAGAGCTGGCTGTGGAAAGAGATGTCTGGGCCTCCTTGCTGAAGCTGCTGCCCCCGTGACCCGACTTCAGAACAAGCAGAAGATAATGGACGGATGAATTTTACAAAAACAAATGTGTAAAAACAACAAGTGTTAAGAGTGAATGTTACTGAATTAAGATCTTTTCATTAATTTTAGTCTGGGTATCATTACAGACCAGTTTTCTGCTTTCAGATTGTTCTGTTGTGTAAAAACCTTTTTATGTTATTATTTTAGATTATATTACTTCTATGACACGACAACTGACTAGAAATCACTTCCTTATTTTTTCCCTCATCTTCAACCCTCCTCTTCCTCTCATTCCTGCTCCTGTTTTTCTTCTTCCATCTGACTCCACCATCTTAGATTTCATCCATCCTCTTCTTCCTTTCTGTCAACTGAATCTGACTTCATCATCCCCATGTTTCCCCCTCCTCCTCCTCCTGCTGGGTCTCCTGGGCTCGGGTCTCCAGGTGCAGCTGCAGGAGGAGGAGTGAGGAGGCGCTGTGGGATGAACAGTGTTGAAATTAATGAGGGAGCCTGGAGGTATTGACTTTCCTGGGAAAACACGGCCGAGCGCCGCAATAACTCAGCACCCATCGATCCCTGCGCCGCCGCCTCCTCACCCGTCCTCCCCCCTCAGGACACATCGATCTATGCGAGTACAAGCTCCAAGGAGGACGGCGTCGGCCCGGCAGCACCACCCAACCCGTTCAACACCCACAGCTGAGGGTTGGGGATCCTGAGGCTTTAAACGCACCACAAACCCACAGGATAACAACAGTATCCAATATTAAACAGTACTTTAAAAACCTGCACACAAATATCACAAAACTTAAAAAAATACCCAATTTTAACTATTTAAAAGCAGCTTTTTTATTATTTAGTCTCTTAGTTATTGATTAATTTTACATTTGAATCCTGAGTTGTTACCAGGCAACATAAATGTTGGTAAATAAAAAAAAAACTGGTGAAACAGGAAGTTTGTTTTCCGTCCGGGATCGTGGGTAAACGGAGTTGGAAATGCTGATCTGTGAGCTGCGGGATGGATCTGTTTCTCCGCTCTCAGCCTCCTTGTCATTCCACAGAGCGTTTCTTGCCTTCGGCCAGTTTCTCAGAGCGAAGCTGTGGGATCAAATCCTCAAGCTGTTTTAAGCCGTGGGGAGGAAGAGAGTCGGGAATGTGGGAAACGCTCGAATCTCACTGCTCGTCACTTCACCTTCAGCTGCACCTGAGAGGCAGCGGGAGGAGGGAGGAGGGGCAACAGCCTGCTCTGGTTTTAAAGACAGAATACTGCGCTCCGATTGGCTGGAACCAGAGATCACAACAGGAAGTCGACCTTCAGACGTGGAAACTTTTTTTAATTTAGCTTTAAACAAAAACCTCTAAGAGCTGTCAGCTTCTAATAAAGTTCTGCAGAGAGTTGGGGGTGGAGGCAGATGGTCCACCGTGGAGACCTCAAAAGGGAGCAGCAAGAAGAAGACATGCTGCTCAACAACTAAGAAAACTGATCAGGGATCAATAAAATCCTGGAACATCAATGACACACTTCCCAAACAACTTCAAACCAAGTTTAGACTCGAGGTTTGCTTAGGAGCCACAAAAACCTCTAAACCCACTGAAGGTCTGCACGGGATCCAGAGAAACCTCCAGAACCTGTTGGAAGTTCTGCATAAACTTCTAAAATCTGCTAAAGACCATCTGTGGAACACGCAGGACCATCTAATGTCATCAACCTGACGTTCCTGAACACACCCTGAAGGCCACACGACCCAGTGCAGAGAAGGGGAAGGCTTTTAGAAACTGCAACGTTTTGATGAAGAGCCCCGTCAGTTTCAGGTTCACGATGCCTTCAGGAACTTTCGATTTTACAGTATCCTATCAATCAACCTGTGGTCAGATGATTCAAGTTCAAGTAGGTTTTATTGTCAATCGCATCACATGTGGTACATGAGGTGGAACGAAATTGTGTGCACAAGGTCCCTCACAGATTTCTTCAGTGAGTCTGCAGTTTGTACTGACCTCAGATCAGATCAGCGCTGGTTTTACATGAAAACACCGACTGCAGCATAAAAAAGCCAACAAAGGTATGCATGGGTGTCTTTACCTGGGTGACCCTGAACTCACCATTATGTCTTGGAATTATTGTTATAATAAATAAAACAATGATTTCTTTAAACTAAGTTTGATTCAGAAAACTGCAAATAGACGTAAAAAAATAAAAAATTCTATAAACTTTTGTGTCAAATCACCAAAACATTAAATAAGTCTGAGTTTCCTGAGACTAGATCTGGGTTTCAGACCCAGTGAAGACCTGGACTTCCTGTCCCTGATGTGGTACAAAGTCACTGCAAGTCAAGGATGTGTCAAGTCCCAAGTCCAGACCCGAGTCCTGACCGGAGTGGACCCGTGTCTGCAGCTGACGTGAACACGATGTTGGTGAGGAGAACGACTGGAACGGCGGATCTTTTTAAAAACACGCCGGCACATAAAAGCTCGTCGCTCGTATCTGGAAATCACAGATTAGCATTGCAAAAGGAGGCGGCCATTGTGAGCGTCCGTCTCCGCGGCGCCATCGGAGGAGGCGGCGCCTCCAACAAAGACGCGGCGACGATAAACTACTGTTAGACAGAAACGCGCTCTCCTCTTTCACTGAAATGACATTTACTTATCGCACTAAACAGCTTCCATCTGACCTTTCTGCTACTTTGAATGACATCTGGATATTCTGACAGGATAATCGTCGGCAGTAAAAGCAGCGATGTGGGAGGAAGATACCGCGGACGTCTGACAATGAGTCTGAAGGGCGAGAGGAGCAGAACCGGAGGAAACTCTGGGGAAAATGTTTACTTCACCTGCAGTTTGGAGAAAACAAGAACCTCCACAGAAACATCCCAAAACAACCAGCAGGAACGTTCTAACAAACGATTCTGTAACATCGTTTTATAAATCCATCGTTTTATAAATCCATCTTAAACGTTCTGATAAAAAAAAAAACCAGCTGCTTCGGTTAAAAAAAACAAACAAAACTAAGTTTGTTTAATGATTTGAAAAACTCATCTGCTGTAAAATCTGAGTCAACAACAGATTTCAGCAGAAAAACATTTAAATCTCATCTGAAAGGAGGATTAAAGAGCTGAACAAACATACAGACAAACGAGGCCTAATTAATAAAACCATTAATGACAAACGTTCAAGATGCAGCGTAACGCAAACAGGAATAAATCTGCATCAGTAACTCCACAGAGCCGGAGTGTTTTTAACTAAAGATAAAAGTAAAAACCAAAGAAGTTTCATCAGAACATGAAACTAAATTTAAAGAGGCAGAAAATCAAAACTGCTACATCTGAGCGGCCATCTTGAACCAGGCTGACTTTAGAGGTCAGTCAGCGGTCAGAGATTTGTTCAACTGGGTCCTGAAATATTTCTCTGACAGACGCTCAGTTACATGATCGCCTGCCATTCATGACAGCGAGAAATATTAAATAACTGAGACTGTGTTTGATGCCAGATGTGAGGTTGGACAATAATTTTATGATTTATTTAATTAAACTGAGTTAAGTAAAGATTTGACTCTAAACTTAAATCTGAAAAAGTTCTGATTGATTGGATCAAAGTCCTTCACTTTATTTTCTACTAATAAACAAACAAACAAAAAACTTTACATTTCTGAAACATACAGAGGCTTAAATCAACATTTTGCTTCTCAACTTTTCTATAAAACGTCACGAAGAAATGTTTACGCCTAAACTTAAATTCCTCTTTTGTCGTTTTTCTACATTTTAAAAACAAATTTTATTTAGAAATCATATTTCATTGAAATATGTCGTATTATTTTAGGAAAACTCAAACTCTCCTCAGCAAATGTTGAGTTTTGCTGTTGGGTGATGAAGCTAGCTCGTTTAGCTAACGCTAACTGAAAGCTGCTGCAGGTTCTGGTTTCTGTTCGCTCTATGAACCTTAAAGTTTGACCCGGTTCTGGATTAAAAACTGTGGGTTTACCGGTGTAGACGAAGCGACCCGGCGCTCCTTTGCAGAACTGTTTGGACTTGTAGGACAGCGTGACCTCCACGACCCCGGGGATGTGTCGAGGAGGGGTCTGGACCCTGATGGCGTGCGGTGTGATCAGCTGGTCCACAGAAACAGAAAAAACAAAAACTGTTAGAGCCGCTGACGAGTTCAACTAATCATCACTAACAAAAAGTTTCTGTCGCCAACAAAATTATTTGGTTTAACTTCAGGATAAAAAACTTTATTGAGCAGGAAACAGAAACTCTGTTTTTGGACTTTTGTCTTTAGAGGACGGTGCAGAGTCTCATCACAAGAACCTGAGAACCATTCGAACCAGATCTCCCCCCTCTGGTTCTGACTCCTGCAGGAGGAACATCTGGATCTGGTTCAGCACTCTCTGCGTTCAGAGGGACGTTGGGGGTCCACGTGTTCGTCGCTGATCAAAGCGAGGCGCTTCGTCAGCAGCATGTGATGTGATGATGGGAGGCGAGCGGCACGCGGAGGTTCTGCTCAGCTCCGCCCCCTCCAGGTGTTCTGCTTCTCTGGACCCGCTTCAATGATTCATGCGGCGCCGTCTGCGCAGCTCCTCCTGCAGCTCTGCGACTCGTCACATCTGCATATTCATCAGGACAGAAACAGACGCAGGTGCTACGGCTACACGACGCCGCAGAGCGTTGAGGATGAGGAGGATGAAGGGCTGCAGATGTTCTCACCAAAAGTACCTCAGAGTTTTTCTGTGAAACTCAGATCAGATTCACACGATAAACTGCTGCAGACAGGAAGAACAGATGAGTTCTGTAAGGGCCTGACGAACAGAGGTCCCATCATCCTGGAGTCTTATCATCCAGGGTCCCGTCATCCAGGGTCCCATCATCCTGTGGTCCCATCATCCAGGGTCCCGTCATCCAGGGTCCCATCATCCAGGGTCCCATCATCCTGGGGTCCCATCATCCTGGGGTCCCATCATCCTGGGGTCCCGTCATCCAGGGTCCCGTCATCATGGGGTCCCATCATCCTGGGTTCCCATCATCCAGGGTCCCGTCATCCAGGGTCCCATCATCCTGGGGTCCCATCATCCTGGGGTCCCATCATTCAGGGGTCCCATCATCCTGGGGTCCCATCATCCTGGGGTCCCGTCATCCAGGGTCCCGTCATCCTGGGGTCCCATCATCCAGGATCCCATCATCCAGGGTCCCGTCATCCAGAGGTCCATCAGAGCATGAACTAAAGAATCATCTCTAACAAAAAAGATTGATTGTAAACAAAAAACAAACATGCCATAAATTTAAAATATAAATAATAAAAACTGAAATCCTAAAGTTACATAAAAAGTAAAAACATCTCTAATGTGACAACAAAAGCGAAACATCATAAATCATAAACAAAAATCTAAATCAAAAGATAAATAAAACAAGAACAAAACTAAATATGGCACAAAGATCCAACAGTAAAGTAAAAAATTATTAAAAAAAACAGGAACAAATAAATAAAATTACCCAGAAACCCCCAAATAAACAAACAAATCTAAATCAAAAACTTCATAAACGACACACGTTCTTCTGACTGACGTTGTTCTGATCAGTCCAAAGGTCAAAGATTCTCCTAAGAGTCCAGATCATCATTCATGTTCCTTAAACTGAAGATCGAACACGACCCACAATCCTTCACTTCCATGGAGGAAGAATTTAACACCAAACAACACAAGCAGCGAAACTAAAGTTCTGACAGAACCTTCATCGGCGCTTTTCAGAACCAGAGTTTTTTCTGACCTCGCTCCAGACCAGCATGGTGCCGAAGACCACCTGCAGCCCGTCGAAGAAGTTGTCCCCGATGAGGATGACGGTGGCGCCGCCGGTCGTCCAGCCTTCGCTCGGACTGATGGCTTTGATGCAGGGCGTGGCTGCTTCGGAGACACGGAGACACGAGAGACACGTGAGCCGGGGTCAACAGCATCGCACGCACACAAATACACAAAAACATCGAGCACAGACAACTCACGTACACAAACACACAAACATCAACAAAAACGTACGCAAACAACCAACACACACAAACATCAACATTGTACACAATAACAAACAATAATGGCGTTGTACATAAACAACTAAAGTACACAAAGGACACACACAAACTCCAGCAACATTGTGCACAAAAACTAACAGCTTGTAAAAACATCATCATCACTACACAGAGCACATAAAAAAAACTTCCAACATCATGAACAACCAACGTAAACAGCACAAACATTGTATAAACAAACAACATTAACAGCATTGTTGATATTTTTAAAGATCAAACTTCAGAGACAAAACTAAATATGATGAAACAACATCAAAGGGTGAACAACATTTTCTCAGATCAGAACTGGATGATCTGACCTCTGACCCCCCTCAGCGACTCTCAGTCTGATCTCCCTTCAGCACCAACACGTGTCACTGATCGGTTGTTCCACATCAACGAGCAGGTTTTCATCCGGGCCGTCTGCAGCCGGAGTCGAGACAGACGGGCTCGAAACGGGACGATTCTCTGCAACTTTACGGACGTTTTTCCCGGAGCGGAGACGCTTTACTGGGAGGATGATCCCATTCCGGTCAGAGCGCAGACTTTCCTCGTGTTTACCGTGAGCTGGGATCTATAAAGCTGCGTTCAGAGGCTCCAGTTTTCAACGTTATTAATGGAGCGATGACGTTCTGCTGCAACCTAATGGAAGAGCCGTTTCTAATTGATCTGCTGCTGTTTTCAGATGAAGTGGAGGAAGAATCTTCGTGTCTGAAACCTGCTCACACTAAATGTGGAAGTGAGGGTTCAAGAGAGACAGGAGCTGAACTTGAGCTTAGTTCTGGTCCAGTTAACATTTCCAGTTTGTGATCGTAAGAGGTCCAGTAAAGAAAAAGTTTGGACCTCGAACTGAACCAAATGCAAAGTTTGTACCTCAGAAAACTTTCGACCATCTGGCTGCTAAACAGTTTCATATCCATCTTTCATATTTAATATTAGTCACAAACATTTATGATAAACTCGTTTAAAAACAGGAAGTGCTCTCACGCTGTGACACAACTTCCTGTTTGAGCGTTTGGTCGGCGAGCACCCTCCCAAGGCAAGCGACTTAGGGGAAGCACTGAATCTGATACGCTTTGAGAGTCAACACGATTCAAGATGTCCGCCACAGTCAAGCTTAGCAAATAAAAACTTGAACAGTTTTATGGACGTTGAGCTGAACTTTGTTGTGGTAGTAGCAGAGTCATCCCTGACGCGTCCTCTGAGTGCTAACGCACATCTTGAGAAATCATGCATGAATTGTTTTTTCCCTCCTGCTGTCCTTGGGTCAAAATGACCCCCGGGGTCTCAGCAGGAGGGTTAGGGTTTGACCAAACAAGTCCAGAATTTCTCAACATAAAATAACTCGGACATGAATGGCAGCGGGTGATATGCATTCCCTGCAGAAACCCGGAGCTTTTACCATTTAGTTTCTTAAAAATCTTTTATTTAATGAGACAAATCCCACCGATCCATCGATCTTTACAGTAACTGATCTAAAATAATTAATTTACTTTTATTGTTTGCCTTACACGTGGTTTAAGACTTTTTAAATAGATTTGTGTCGAGTCAATTTATCTTTCAAAAATATAAAATATTTGAAGGAAAATGTGACGATTTTATGTTTTAGCTCTGGCGCCACAAAGCAGTTTTTGTTAACTTTCCAGGATCTGACGTGAACTTTCTGTCCAAGTCTGGAAGTCGGAAGGTTCAGAAGAACTTTCAGAAGCTGGAACGTTCAGGGGACCTTCAAAGGCTCGAACTTTTGGGTCCTGTAGACCCGTCAGGTTCTGAAAGAAAGCGTGCAGCTGCTGCAGCAGCGGGTCGAGACGTTCTCCAGCACCGAGGAGCCGGTTGTCGTCTTCCTATTAATTCCCCTCTTTTGTTGCAGCAGTAAACAAACGGTCCTGAGGGTCTGGGGGGTTCTGGAGGGGTTCTAATCACATGAATGCAGCACAAAGACCCGGAGCAGGCGGTGGAAAGTTTTATCTCGGAGACGGGAGGCTGAGGGCTGGCGACAAAGGCGGGAGCAGATGTTGGGGCTTTTATCGCCTCTGAAAACATCCCAGTCTGGAAGAGATGAAAGACGTGGAGTTTCCCTCAGATACCGGACTGGCTGGTAAACAACGGGCCCGTTTGGCTCCTGCAGGACACCGTACACAGAGCGCTGCAGCTCATGAATGCTGAGGAGGTTCGATAAACTTTTCTTTACACCTCGGAGCATTTTCACAGGTGAGAGTTGGTCTGATGTGGACTCTGACAGATTAGTGTCAGCGTTTGATTTAAAGCTCGGGACGTAGCAGACAGGTGGGGACAGACTCCCGCTGCACCACAGGAGAGCAGCTCGTCCTCTTTGATCAACTACCTTATCAGGTCATAAACACCACCCGTCTGCTGCTGCAAGTAGGTTGAACCAAACGAGACAGATGACATCAGCGCCTGCAGCAGCTGAGACGAGCAGAGAGACAAATCTGAGGACAGGGTCCACTGTCAGTTTGTTTTACTTTTCTGTATGTCCCACAGGGGCGGAGCTTGCCTCTAAGGGTCTGAGGTCAGGAGCTTGACACTTGAGTTATTTACACTCTGATATGAGCTTCAGGTGTTGATGTTGCAGGTGATGAAAAATGATTTCATTTAAACATTAAAAACAAACAAACGTTAAAAAAAAAATTGTATAAAACTTAAAAGGTTTTCATTCATCACTTAACTCGTTTAGTTAATTTTGTAGCTGTACAAGTGCTAAGTCATCTGACAGTTTGATTTAGTCTTCTTTAAGTCCCAGAGGGGTGGAGTTGACCTCAGAAGAGTTTGATTAAACTAAAGTCCAGTTTGTGTCTCTCTCTCTGACTGATGTCACTCGTTTTGGTCCTGAAGCTGCAGATAAGATAACTCCACCCGTCTGATATCGACAGTGAGATAAATCAAAGCCAAAGT